TATATATATATATATGCTAGAAAGTACACATAAAATATTTTTAAAAATTTTTTTCTTTTGTCTATATCCTTAGCTATATCCCTATAGTTAGCACGATATGATATTATGAGGTTTAAAAAATGCTGTGTAGTCTACATTTATTTTCTACCATTGCCTATTTCAGTTACAAACATTGCTTTTTTTTTTCTTTTTAATTGTTATTAAAAGCTGCGTTTTAGGGTTACATTCCGAACACTTTAATGATTTTTTATAATTTTTCGGTTCAAAATAGAACTTTGATATTAATATTAAGTCAAAGAATAGGTGTCTAAATTTCAAAAAATATGTTACATATGCTAGAAAATACATATAAAATAATTTTTTTTAAAATTTTTTTCTTTTGTCCACTCAGTTTCCACCACGCAGATAGCTAAGATGTCGCTAAAATCGATGGTTAAACAGATATGATACTATGTGGTTTGAAAAAAGCCCTGCAAACGACATTTATTTAATAATATTGCCTATTTCTGTTATAGGTATTGTTTTTTAATTTTCTAATTGCTACTAAGAGCACCCTTTTAGGGGTTCATTTCACGGACACTTTAATGATTTTTTATAATTTTTTTGTTTAAAATAGAACTTTGATATTGATATCAATTTAAAGGATAGGTGTCAAAATTTCAAAAAATATATACATGTGATAGAATATGCATATAAAATATTTTTTTAAATTTTTTTCTTTTGTCTTTGTTCTTGATATAGTTATTACAAATGTCGCTAAAATCGATTTTTATGCAGACATGTTGTATATAGGTTGAAAAATTCTTTGTAGACTAATTTGTTTTAATATATTGTCTATTTGTGTTATATGTTTTTCTTTTTTTGTTCTCTAATTGTTATTAAGAGCAGCCTTTTAGGTGTTCATTTCACGGACACTTTAATGATTTTTTATAATTTTTTGGTTCAAAATAGAACTTTGATATTAATATGAAATTAAAAGATTGGTGTCAAAATTTCTAAAAGCAAACTTCATATGCTAAATAATGCTTATAAAAGACTTTTAAAAAAATTATATTTTGTCCTTGTTCTGCATATAATTAGCACAGTAGTTATTATAACAAAATAAGATATGTTCAACATTTGATGAATACAAACTAATAATATTTTTTAGTTCAATTTTTGTGATATAGATGTCAGCATTAAGGGAAGAAACGGAACTCCGTGATAAAAGGTTGACTTCAAGACTGACAATGTTTCGATTCTGTTGCCTTTTTGCTGATGATATAATCGTAGATTTTTCTTAAAGGTTGAAAATTTTTATATTCTATGAATGTTAATTATTAAAACTCGTTATTTATGATATTTGCATAAACACTAAACGTTAAACTTTTGCGATTGCCAAATTAAAAAGTGGAATTAAATGGAAATTCAATGCTTTTATTTTTTTGCATATATTTATTAATCGGTAGATAGATATCTGAATCTCTAGGTAGGTATTTTGAAGCGGCGTTACCCTCATTTTATTAAACAAAGCCCTTTATTTTTTTTTTTCTTTAAAAGTTTGCAGTAGATGACCTTACAAATTATCGGAGGGAAAATAGCTTTCCATTGACATT